TGTGTGTGTGTGTGTGTGTGTGTCTCTGTGTGTGAGAGAGAGAGAGTGTGTGTGTGTGATATCTGATGTCAGCTGTCACATCCCAGTCGGTCTGGGCCCATAATAAGAGACAATAATAACAACTCATTAAAACCGAGGGCAGGAACTGTGGAGCTCATCGGCTCATCAAATTAACCTTTGAACACTTCATACGCACACATATTACACACACACACACACACATACAGGTGTGCGCTCTCTCTCAATCTCTCTCACACGCTCTCTCTCCTCCACACACACACACGAGCTACCTGTTTTTCTCCCACAGTTAGTGACTACACAATCTTTCTCTCTGTCTTTTTGTCTCTCTCCATCTTCCCCCCCTCTCAGCCAGTGGGTGTGTCAACAGGGGATTGGTCCTTTCTGCTGGGTAATTGATGAATTATATGCAATATGCAAATGAGGCGCCATTAATCTCCTGACTGACAGCTTCGTTTATGGGGCCTTAATGACGGCTGGATTAGATTCTAATTAAAATCTGCTCAAAGACACCCCACGCTAGGAAGCTGCTGCCGCCGCTAGTCTATCGCTCCCTCTTTTTTTTTTCTTTTTTATCCTTTCCCACCTTTTCTCACCCTCTCGGACTCTCCCTCTGTGTGTCTCCTCTCATCTCTTCCTGTCGCTTTACACCTCCTCATGGTTCCCTCCGTCCCCCTTTTCGTGTTTATTGTTCTTTCTGTGTCTTCTGCTCTCTGTCACACCTTCGTGTCCTCTTTCCCCTCTGTCTTTTAATATCACACAGACACTCCCTTCACAGACACACACACTTGCTCACAGACTCATGTTATCCAATGTAAGGCTGGCATGAAAGGGGATGAGCTGCGCTGCTTGTCATTAAGCCTGATGCGGCCCGTGTCATTTCCCCTGTCAGGACATTCACACCATTTAGTCAGAGCCAAAGTGATGTCTGACAGTTTTTCACGTACCTCCTCCAGGATTGATTGAGCATGCCGGGCTCAATCAAACCATGTGAATCTGCTTGTAGTCACAGCCTTTATTCAGAAGATCTGTGACATGACGGGGAAAGAGGGAATGAATGACCAGACGAGGGAGGAATGGAGGGAGTAGGAGGCCAGCAAACACATTTAATAAGCAAACAAATGAATGAGTAAGCTGAACAGTAATGAGGTGCTTTATTGATGCCATAGGGAAACTCCTTTTTTGCTTGCTCGCATCCACAGGGAGGTGCAGATTTGCTGTACAGCAGCCTTCCTGGAACCGGTCAGGTTTCAGTGTTTTGCTTGTTGACATTTCAGCAGGATCAGAGGTTTACAGACTGACGGACAGTTTCTCTAACCGGGCCACCCATCTCAGGCTCAGCATGAAGAGCCGACTGAGCGAGTGAGTAAAGTATTAAATTGCCTAATGACTAACGTTCGCCCGTGTGTTTTCTGCCTGCAGCTCGAGGCCGGGACGACCGCCCAAGAGGCTGCAAAGTGTGACAGAGGGCGGAACCCACCACATGCTGTCCCACAGTGGTCTGATGCACGCTGGGATCATGCCTCCTGCAGGTGACCACCCAGGCCTCATCATACAGTACATATAGTGCATACATGTACATTAGAAACAGCATCACACAACTAACACTGTTGACTATAATCATATTTCTGGGAACTTGTATTCTTTTATGTTTTAATTCTGTTTTTCCTCATCTTTATCATTTGTTCTATTCATTTTATAGTTTTCTATCAGTAACTGTCAATAATTTATCTTGGACAGGCTATTATACAGATGGGGGGGGGGGCGTTACTTTTACCGCAGACCAACATAATGACACATTTTTACATCACATCATCAGGCAACCTGTGTGTTGATTAATAAAATTAGCATAGATAGTGCTGACACACGAAAAACCACGCATAACTTGCAAGCTTGGTATTTTTTTCTTGACTTCTAAGTACACAAAGTCCTCTGTTAAGTTGAGCAAGACTAACTTGAAATTACCAGTTATCTTTGTTTAAATGACACTTTAACCCATTAATGTCTCATTTAGCATTTAGGATTATCAATAATCTACAAAAATATCCAGGAAGGAAAATTTGTTGTGTCCAAATATATGTGGATCTTTGTGTTTTATACTTAAATTCTGTTTATTATATGCCAATATAACTACAGTCGTGTTTGTTCTTGTCACAAACAGTTGAGTCCCTATTGTGTTGTGTGTGTGTGTGTGCCTGTGTTTGTGAGTGTAGCACAGAGAAAGGGAGAAAAGTAATTGTTGGCACCTCACCACTCTCAAAGTTGCCCTTGGCTTTGTGCTCTTCACTGCAACCTGATCTTTTCATTCCCCACCTCAAAAGAAGCCATTTTCTATTAGCCTCCACTTCCTCTCACTGTTCAAAGGTGTTTGAGGGTGTGTGTGCGTGTCCGCGTGTGTTTTGTGCGTGTGTGTGAGCGTTCAAGAGCATCTTTCTCAGTGGGAAAAGAGTCTTTTTCCACCAAAGGAGAGGGCACGGCGGCAATGTCAGCACCACTGATTAGAACTGGCCACATGAGAGGAGGGAAAGAGACAGAGAGAGGGAGGACATTTGAGCGTAAAAGGCAGGAAAAATCTTTGATGTGATCCTCCTTAGTCTCTCTTTCTCGCCCTCACACACTCGCGCGCACGCACTCGCAACACGGTGGCTTATGTCCCGCTGTGATGCTGACATTTGAAAAGGTAAAGTAAGGAGAGGCGATGGGAGGAGAGCAGGGAAGAGGGCAGGAAGGAGAGGAAGAGGAGATGAGAGAAAAAAAAAGGAACAATTTGTTGTGGTTGTCGTGGTCATACATGGACAGACAGGCAATTCCCTCTCATTGTGCAAAGAAGAAAAAAAAAACACTCGGCTGTTCAGTTTGTTTCAAATGTTTCGATGTATCCATGTTCAGGAAATTAAGACTTATGGTTTGTTTGCGTTTCTTCAGTGGTGTTTGCACAGTAGCAGGGTTTGTCCAACTTTAATAATATTCACCGTGTTTTTCTGTATTAGTGTGAGAGATATTTAATTTTCTGTTCAGTTGCTCCGTGGGTCAAACCTCCTTCTGAGGTTCAGGGCGCAAATTAAAATGTGACTCTGCCCTGCTGCTACATTTTGTCACTCTCCATTTCATATAATCCAAAAGTGCACAACCCCTATTAAAAAGTATCTCCACTTTTCTTTCCCCTAATGCTTCTAATTTGTACCGATAAAGAAGGACTTGCTGGCTCAAAGGTGGAGTCGCTGCCGCTGAGTGTCGTCCTGTGTGCTGTGGGATGTGATGTCCCTGTGTGGGAGAGATGAATGTCTTGGCTTGTTCCTATCACTGCTGATTCCCTGGCAGACTAAACGGCCGGTGCAGCGGTGCAGTCAGAATGAATGGCCGGCCTCTGTCTTCCCATGACAACCTCCTGCCTACCCATTGCTCTAATCCTCCACCGGGGCCATTGATCTGGCTCTTATTGATTCTTTCTCTTTCTTCCTTTCCTGCTTTTTTCTTTTTCTCCCCTCTCTATATCTGTCTTTCTCTCAGATCTGTCTGCTCTGGCCAAGAAGATCAAGCTGGAGGCTATGGCCAGTTACCACAGTAACCACCAACATGGCGGGCCAAATGGGGAGAACGGTGACCACAACCTCGGTGAGCCTCGTCTGTTTGTCCGTCTACACAAACACACACACACAAACACACGATGTCACATAATTACGGTCGTATAACATGTTGCTGGGGTTGTTGTCTGTACACATCTGTGATGCCAAGTCAATACAACTACAGCAGCTGTGTTTGTGTGCGGCTGCTGGACCAGACTGATTAAAACCAGGATGTGACATCACCTCTGCTGCACGTACATTTCCTCTGAGAAACAAGGAATGAAAAACAAACGGCAGCAGCCGTGAATCAGTTAAATTAGAAATAAACATCTGGGTAACATAATCCAAACTATCAAAACACATGGAGCAGACCTTTTTGTATATATATTTTTTATCACAAATTTCGGTGTGGTTTTTTTTTTTCATGGTTTTGATAAATTCCTGTAAAAGCAAATATTTCCCTCAGCTTGAATTTGTTTGCACGCTTTGTGACTTCACTGAGATTCAGGAAATAGATACTGGTTGGTCATCCGCCCTGCAGCCTCAAAATGTTGCCAGTAAATCATTAGCACATATTAGTCATCACATCGGGTTTAAACCTAAACCAGCTCTGTTACTCATGCACAACATGACATTGGTCTGCTCATATCAAGTAATATGAGATAAGTATTTACAGGAAAAAGAGTTGAGTAAGCCACGTGTTCCTGTTTGCACTTAACAGTTGATTTTCACCTTTAGAAAACACATATATTTGGGAGTGAATCCTTCCAGGGACTCGGTTAATGTTCAAGTGTAATTTTTAGTCCCATGTTTTGAAAAACTGTTCCCTTTACTGCACCGATCCCAGGCTTTGCAGTGAAGTGGAGCGGCAGCGGACGAGAGCGAGCTCACAGGGATGATAGAGAGATGAATAAGATGAGAGGCTGAAACCAAATCAATAGTCTTCTCTCTAATTCACTATCCTGAATGCAAACGACAAACGCTGGACAATCGATGGCAGAACGGACACACGCACGCTCACGCACACCACGCTCCAAATACCAGCCACACACACACACACAAACAAATCGGACGCACCTCCCCCTCTGTTATCGACAGGTTAAAGCGACATCAGTGTGTTTAGACAGATGACAGGGCTTATGGAGGTCTGTGTGGAATACACTATCAACCTGGGATACACTTAACATGTGGAGCGTACTGAGAGGCTTTGGGGCAGAAATGAAAAAGAAGAAACCGTCCTTGTGTTTTTCAGAAATTACAAGGAGACGAAAGTAGAATCATCACGTGTGTGTGTGTGTGTGTGTGTGTGTGT